GAGAATAAAGCAGTAGGTACATTTGCATCATGGAAATTGAAAATTCTGCAAAGCTGGCCTTCATTTTTTTTATTAACTTCTTTTTTTAATATTTATTTATTTTAATTGCAAAGTCAGATATACAGAGAGAAGGAGAGACAGAGAGGAAGATCTTCTGTCCGATGATTCACTCCTCAAGTGCCCGCGATGGTCGGTGCTATGCCAATCTGAAGCCAGGAGCCAGGAGCTCTTCCAGGTCTCCCATGTGGGTGCAGGGTCCCAAGGCTTTGGGCCATCCTCGACTGCTTTTCCAGGCCACAAGCAGGGAGCTGGATGGGAAGTGAGGCTGGCGGGATTAGAACCAGCGGCCATATGGGATCCTGGCATGTTCAAGGTGAGGACTTTAGCTGCTAGGCCACTGTGCTGGGCCCGCCTTCATTTATTTTGATGACTGTCCTGATATAAGAAAGTGACTAGGAATATGCTATAGATACAAACATTTGGGAAAAATCAAGTTAGTATATTGTGAAAGCCAATGGGTTCACTAAATTTGTAATAGAATTAAGCATTTTTTTCATTATGTTTTTTGGAATTGTATGCCACAGGTTCCTCACATCAGTAAAATGTACATAGGTACATATGTATCTGTATATTTTGTTTTCTAGAAATCCAGTGGCTAAAACACCAGTGCATCCTCTCCAAAAAGTAGATAGGCAAACAGCTGCAGGAGTTCAGGCAAGGCCACTCCATAAGTTGAAGTTGGATATGTTGATTACTTTGAACTGCAAGCGCTTGGGTAAGAGCAGATTTCGGAATTTAGACAGAGGCATTCTCTGAGCTCCCCTTGTCTGTCTATGGAAGGGTCCTCCAAAGACAAATTTAAGTGTCATGAAGCTTCTTCCTGAGGACTCCTCATCAGAGAAGCTTAAATGGGGCACGGAGTGCAGACTAGAGGTGGATAACACGCCTCCCGGAGGGCTGCTCCGAAGCTCTGACTGCCTGGGAGAGCTGCTATCTGCGTAACAAGACCTTAATTCACCACTCCCCTGCCCTCCCCTTCTCCTAAGTTGCCATCACCTGCCTCCTGTGCCCAGGAGCCTAAAGCCCTTATTTCCTTCTATACTTCTACACTTCTGAATGAGATTCAGTCATCTGATCCTTTAGGAAGTTTCATATTCTGTGGTACTCTGTGCATTTGCAAATAATAAAATATGCTTTTCACCTGTTATTCTGTCCACATCAACTTTATTCATAGGTCAGGCAAACAATGTAAAAGGCTTAAGAGAAGCCAGGCTGGGTGTGGGCGACAGAACTATGGCACAGCGGGTAAAGCCACTACCTGCTGTGCGATTTCATATGGATTCTGGTTTGAATCCCAGCTACTCCAACTCTAAACAGCTATATGTCTGGGAAGACAGCAAAAGACGACCTAAATACTTGGGGCCCTGCACCCACATGGGAGACCTGGATGAAGCTCTCAGCTCCTGGCTTTGGGCCAGCCCAGCTCCAGTTGTTGCAGACTTTTGAGGAGCGAGCCAGTGCAAAATGTGTGTCTCTTTCCCTCTCTCAGTCTCTGTGTGTGTGTGTGTGTGTGTGTGTGTATGTACACACACATATATATGTATATAACACACATATATGTGTATCTGTAATTCTTTCACATAAGTAAACATTATAAAAGTTCTAAAATTTTTTTAAAACATACTCCCACAAATTCTCTAATAGACCTACATAAAGGTGAAGCCTAAGTTACTGCACCCTGAGTGTGGTTGGTATCAAATGACTCTAATGTTTAGAATGTGCTAGGAGTGATCCTGGAGCCTCTTCCAGGTCTCCCACATGGTGCAGAGTCCCAAGGCTTTGGGCCATCCTTGACTGCTTTCTCAGGTCATAAGCAGAGTGCTGGATGGGAAGCAGGGCTGCCGGGATTAGAACTATTGCCCAGATGGGATCCTGGCACATGCAAGGCAAAGACCTGAGCTGCTGGGCTACTGCACCAGGCCTTACTTTGACAGTATTTTTAATGTACTCCAAATAGCCTAATCAGTTGTTATCTTTACAAAATGAGAGATAAATCCTTTGACATTTGCAGGAGACCTCACTGCAAATATCAAAGCATAAAATTTAATCTTTTGGGGTTTTTGAATGCCTGTCAAGGATGCCAAGAAGGCTTAAAATATCTGGTTGAAATAAAATAATTTTCCATGACACAATATAGATCAGATTAATTATTGATATAAAGTGATTACTCAAACACCTTTATAACAATAACGTAACTTTACTGATCTGTTTTTAATTGTAAATTTTATTTTTGATAATTTTTACATATTTGGTTAGGGTGTGAAGGGTCAAGGGCTAGAAGAAAGTGGGTGAGACCATTGTTTTGACATTTTCTTCTTTCCTTTCTGTATCTGGGGGGAGGGAGATAGGAGAGAAGCCACATCCAGCCTCCCACCCATCCCAGGTCCCCGATGTGGGGCATGTTCCGAGGGTCCTGCTCAAGCAGTTTTGATAGTTCAGCAGTTCTGAATTGCTGCCAGGCTTGCCACTCCAATCACGATGAAATCTCTCCAGACTCCACTGACCGACATAGCCCTCCTTAGTCTCCGTTTGCCCAGGTGTTGACTGCCAACTCTTTGCTGGGGGGGTTGATCGATTTGTTCTGTCCTCCATCCTCTGTTATGGTACCAGTTGTCCTCTGCAGGACTCCAGTATACTGCCATATCCTCCATGTGCATCTGGATACGCTGTCCACTGGAGGCCCAGCTCTGACACACGCATTCTTGAAGTGTGTTATTAGGGACTGGATAAGAAGTCACGCAGCTCAGCTCAGCTGTTGTGGTCACTTGGGGAGTGGAGGGAGGATCTTTCTTTCTGTCTCTCCTCCTCTCTGTATATCTGCCTTTCTAATACAAATAAATAATTTTTTTTAAAAAAGAGAAAGAAAAGAAAAGAAAGTGGAGCAGCCAGGACTTGAACTGCATTCACATGGGATGCTGACACTTCAGTTGCTTAACCTTTTGCCACAACCTTAACCCCCATGACAAGCTTTTGTGTTTATGGGGCCTCGTATCAGTCATATTAGCTGTGTAGCTATCTCTCCCAAAGTTAACTTATAAACATTAGTTATCTTTTAACAATCAGTTCTTTTACTGTGGATTGGCTGGAGAAGTGGGTGGTTGTGGCTGGTCTCATTTACCTGTTTGTTGGCTGGCAGGCTGCCGTGGGAGTCACCCTTAGTTTCAGGGTTTTAAGGATTCCATTGTATTCCTGAAGGGCAAGCCCCAGTGTACAATTTCCAAGATGTTTCTTGCACCACGCTTATTTTTATCTTTTTGTATTTAATTTCATTTGCTCCAAACCATAAGTCTATAATCAGCATGGGAATAGCTGCCAAAGGTGCTGAGATGGTAAGCATGGCTAAACTATGGGGTCATTATAGTAGCAATCAGGCACTTGGAAAACGCGAGAGATTACTGTTCATTACACCTCTAGTTCCTTAAAATTTAAAATGAACAAACAAGAGCTCTCTAGTCTTCTTTAAAAACAAGTTCATTCTGTTTCTTCTCTATGTGAAAAAGATAAATATCAAAGAAACACCATTTTTAAAGAAATTTTCTGCCTTACAGACCAATGTTTTTTTTTTTAAAGATTTATTTTTATTATTTTCTCATTGGAAAGGCGGATATACAGAGAGGAGAGACAGAGAGGAAGATCTTCGTCCAATGATTCACTCCCCAAGTGAGCGCAACGGTCGATGCTATGCCGATCTGAAGCCAGGAGCCTCTTCCAGGTCTCCCATGCGGGTGCAGGGTCCCAAAGCCTTGGGCCGTCCTCGACTGCTTTCCCGGGCCACAGGCAGGGAGCTGGAAGGGAAGCGGGGCTGCCGGGATTAGAACCGGCGCCCATATGGGATCCTGGGCGTGCAGGGTGAGGACCTTAACCACTTGCGCCACCGCGCCGGGCCCATAGACCAATGTTTTAAGTCAAGAAATCCAAGTGTCAGTTAACAAGCAAGACAAATACAACACAATTATGTCTATTTAACAAATATATTACCTATCCAGATTGTGGGAATAGAACTGTGTATGGAATAAAGCTTCTGACTTCAGGGACCTAATTACTTATCTTTCTTTCTTAAAGATTTTATTTATTTGAAAGAGTTACAGAGAGCAAGATCTTCCCATCCACTCGTTCATTCCTCAGAAGGCTGCAATGGTCAGGACTGGGCTGAGTTGAAGCCAGGAGTCATGAGCTTCATATAGATCTCCCACAGAGGGGACAGGGGTCAAACATTTGGGCCATCTTCTGCTGCTTAAGGAACCTAATCTTTCAATGTGGTAGATAGACAAGCATTAAGAATGCAACGTAGGGCCCGGCATGATAGCTTAGCAGTTAAAGTCCTTATCTTGAATGCTATGGTTCTAATCCTGGCGCATTCTAATCCATATGGATTCCGGTTCTAATCTCGGCGGTCCTGCTTCCCATCTAGCTCCCTGCCTATGGCCTGAAAATGCAGTCGAGGATGGCCCAAAGCCTTGGGACCCTGCACCTGCTTGGGAGACCTGGAAAAAGCCTCTGGCTCCTACCTTTAGATTGGCTTAGCCCCAGCCGCCGCAGACACTTGGGGAGTGAACCATCAGAATGAAGATCTTCCTCTCTGTCTCTCCTGTCTGTATATCGCCTTTCCAAAAAAATAATAAACCTTTAAAAAAGAATGCAATGTAATATAATACGACAAACAATGTGAATTCTCACCCAAGTCAAGGAAGACTTCGGAAGAAAATGATTTCTAGTATCGTCCTGAGTGGTCATTATGAGTTAGGTGAACTAGGTTGGGTATAATGTCTGTCCAAACAGGAGCTCCTCGTGTAAAGAATAGAAGGATGATGACAGTATGACCCACTAACAGACTACAGATTTTAAAGGCTCTGTGCTCCATTTGAAATTCAAAATAAAAAAATAATGCTAGCTATTAAAATATATGTAAAATGCTATCTAATTTTCCTCATTATATTTAGATATTTAAAAAAAGTAGACCTGGGCAGCCAATAGACCTTAGAGAGATTTTCTAAACCTGGGAGCAATGAAGCCAACATCTCAGAACTACACAGATCGCTCAAGCAGCATCCTTGGAACACACGTCCGCACGTCATTGTCTCTAAGGCCACAGCAAATGACCATCTCCACCCCTGGGAGCTGATGGAGTCTGACCCTAAGGAGCGGGCTCCCTCACCTCTTCCTTCCCATCCTCTCCTGCCATGCACACGGGGGAAGAAAAAAAAAAGAACTAAAAACATTTTTCTCACCCACCTGCCTCCACACCTCAACTCTTCCCACCCTATTCAGAGGCCCAGATGGGCATGCATTCCTCTTAACTATGCAGACAATATTAAAAATAAAATAAAAGTATATTTCTGTCCTTGTTTGATGTTTTCTACACCTCATACCAGTTTGTCCAGTACATGATACATTACTGCTTGCTTGGGGAATGGCAGCACTGTGCAGTGTGATAGTTGAAGAGTGACGGATCAAGCTGGAGAGCCTAGCCGGGGTCAGCTACAGACCTAGTGAAGCACGTGGTCGAAGAAGTAGTGTTTCATGTTTACTGACCTGAATTCAGTACTACGTACACTGCACATTCTGGGCAACCCAAGGCCTTAATCTCCTTAGCTGTGAAACAGGAAAGTTAAACTGTCAAGATTACATAATATATACAAAAGGCTTAGCACAATGCTTAATGCCATAAAACACATTTAATTTTGAATAGCTAGTACTAGAAATAAACTTGATTTCAGCCTGAACTGGGGAGTCACAAAAGGATATTAAAAAAAAAAAAACCACTAACTTATTTTTCCTTACTTGAAAGGCAGAGCCAAGGAGAGGACGGGAGGCATGGATAGGTAGGTAGGGAGATGCATGGAGTTGAGATGGCCCATTCATTCACTATCAGTTCTGAGTCAGGCTGAAGCCAGAAGCAAAAAACTTCATCTGAGTCTCCCATGTGGGAGGTAAGAGCTCCAGTACTTCAACCACAACCTGCTGCCACCCACCAGTATACATTAGCAGGAAGCTGGATTGGACATGGAGTAACTGTGTATTAACCTAGGTACTATACATTTTAGGATATGTGTCCCAAGAATGACTTACCCCATTGCATCACTATGTGTGCCTACAATGAAGGATTTTAAATACAATCTAACATGATTACAGTGGGCGTTAATGAATTTCTTCAGCTGCGGGGTATAGTAAGGATTGAATGACAATGAGTAGATTTCAAAAGTGTTTAGGAGCAAAGCTGGGCAGAGATTAACAACTGACTGGACACTATTGAGAGAAAAGGATGATACTGAATTGATTTATTTTAAAGATTTGTTCTTTTTTTGAAAGGCAGAGTTACAGAGAGAAGGGGAAGAGACACAAAGAGATCTTCCATCTACTAATTCACTTTGCAAATGGCCACCACAGCCAGAGCTGAGCTGGACCAGGCTAAAGACAGAAGCTAACAATTTCTTCTGGGTCTCCGAAGTGGGTGCAGGAGTTCAAGAATTTGGTATTTTCTGCTACTTTTCCAGGCAATTAACAAGGAGCTATGTGGGAAATGAAGCAGCTGGGACTCCATTTCAATCTGTTTTTCCACAACTCTGGCCTCAAAGCTAGATTTAAAAAAAATTTCTTTTATTCAAGGGAAAAATGACAGGGAGAAAGAGGGAAGTAGGGAGGGGAGGAAAGGAAAAAGAAAGGAGGAAGAAAGGAGGGATGGAAAGAGAACAAGAGACTCTTCCATTTATTGCTTTACTTTCCACATCCTCCCAATACCTGAGATTAAGCAGGCTCAAATTATCAGCTGGGAATCTATCAGCAATTGCCATGTGGGTGGCACATGGGCTATAATCTGCAACCCCAGCAGGTGCATGGGCAGGAAGCAGGATTGAAAGGACAACATTTGGGCACTCTAATGTGCAGTTTAAACTGATGGGCCATAACTCCCGCCTAAGTCCTACGTTTTTGACTTGGGAAATTGATTGAACAGTGGTGACTTTCTACAAGTGATAACACAAAGAAGGGCAAAGTTGATTAGAGAAAATGAGTTCAGAGTTGGCAATTAGAAATGCAGGAAAAAACTTATGAAGGAGACTTAGGTAATCCATAAAGGTGTTTTGGAACTACTGTCACGCACATAGTAATTGAAATTATAGGATTGGATGAGCTTGGACCTTGAGTAACGTTCAGACTGAGCAAAGTGCCAATTAATGGAATTCTGAGGCAGATCAACATTTAGTTGACAAGAAATATGGTTGAGGATAGGAAAGAAACTTTAGCCTAGCCAGAGAAACAATAGAAAACAATGGGTAGAGTGTGATACAAGAAAAACTGGGGGCAGGAGATGTATTTCAAGATGTGAACAAGGTGGTAAAACAATGTGGGCCTAAATGTGAATAACAGATTTAGTCAACATCAGTAGTAGGGTGTCATGGATAAGTTTGACAAAAAGTATTTTGGTAAAAAGATAAAATCCAATTCACATTGAATTGGAGTGATGAGAAAGCAGACAGTGAGTACAAAAAATACCTGCCTATATAGAGAAGAATGATAACTGAAAGTGGTAGCTGAAAGCAGACCTGCAGATGAAAAGGAGTTGACAAATTATTTTTTTAAATCAATGATAGAATCCAGATCATCCATTTAAAATTGACACCTTCAACACCCAGTACAAACAATATCATGTAAATTGTTATATTCTTGAGTCCCCATTGCATTTCCCTACTGCCATCTCTCTCTCAGAGTTCTACCCATTCTTCACACAAATCTACTACAGGATATCCTTAATCAAGTCACGTAGCTGTGGCAATCTCTCCTTGAATTAGAGTAGCATACCTCTGAGTATCCTCTGGACAGAGAGCTCAAAGAAGCTATGGGGTCCCATAGCACTAATGCTTGTCTCCATGCAATTTATCTGCTTTTGAGTACTCATTCTTTAATGATTCTACAGTTTATCTGCTGAGAGGTAAGCATCATTGAAGATTCACAAAAATGAGGGTGGTGGCTCCCATTCTGCCCTCAAAATTTCTCTAACTGAACAAATATCAGTGGTGTGTTCTATATAGCACCTTACTTAGAAAGGTCTTAAAACATACCATAGCAGAGCCCGGCGCTGTGGCCTAGCAGCTAAAGCCTCACCTTGAATGTGCCAGGATCCCATACAGGTGCTGGTTCTAACCCCAGCAGCCCTGCTTCTCATCCAGCTCCCTGCTTGTGGCCTGGGAGAGCACTGGAGAATGGCCCAAAGACTTGGGACCCTGCACCCACATGGGAGACCCAGAAGAGCTCTTGGTTCCTGGCTTCAGATTGACTTGGCTGCAACCATTGTGGTCACTTGGGCAGTGAATCATCAGATGGAAGATCTTCCTCTCCGTTTCTCCTTCTCTCTGTATATCTGACTTTCCAATAAAAATAAATATTAAAAATAAATAAGTAAATCTTAAAAAAAAAATACCACAGCAGTAAAGAGCAGGACTAGAAGTTGTGTTATTAGTACACCGGCATCTTTCTTTTATTCCACAGAAAAAAGACAGACAGTTTTAAATTCTGGAAGAGACAGATGTGAGGAAACCTCAGAGAGGTTGTTGCTTTACAGCAAGTCAGGATTGCATTCCAAAGGTTAAATGTTGTATGTATTGAACCTTGGTAGGCAACAAGGAATTCACCAATAAAAATATAGTGGGATCCATATATATTATAGGCAAATTTAAAGTGGCCCTATTTTAAAAGACATAAAATGTAAAACAAAGATTAGTTTTTTAATTTGGCCTAAATGTCTAAAATACTTAAAATGTGCAATTACTATAAAAATACTGAGCTATTTTACTTTTTTGGACTTAACTGCATACCACAATGCTAACAGGCCACATTGTAACGGCTCAATCACATATTATTGGCTAGTGAGTTTAAATTTTTGTGTTTCCTGTATTATCTTAATGTTACCGGATGCTTTCCTGTGTTCAGTTTCTGGCTTCCAGAAAGACTGGCATGGCTTTTAAAGCTCTAACTTGGGTTATGTCATTACCTTTCTAATAGTTTGTCCCAAGGTTACTAAATTACCAAGAATAGGAAGCAGAGGTGAATCTTCAAAAGATTGTTTTCCCCCCATTCCAGGTAGAGAAGAAGAGGAGAATGTAAGGGTTAATATTGTGCAGGCTTCCCACTGGCCCCCTCTTTCCTGATTCCTGGCTTGAGGAAACCTCGGAGGGGTTTCTTCATAGCAAGGCAGGAAATGGGTTCCAAAAGTTCCAAGTTGTATGCGTTGAATCTTGGTCGGCAAGAAGGCATCCATCAGATGAAAGGGAGGGAAACACACAGTTCTACCGGGAGAACATGTGTTTTATAAGGAGCTGAGACAGTTTAGGTTAGTTGGAGCAAACTGAATAATCTTCAGAAGTTTCCTGGCAAGGGGCTGCACAGTGGGCTTGGCAAACTAATCTTTCACCTACAGCGCTGTAATCAACACCTTGGCTTTAAGCAGCTGGATTCTAATTTGTGTCCACACTATACATGCTGTATGTTGAAACAGATATCTAGCTTTGTACTTGATCATTTTGCCACTTAGTACCTAGGGGCACTTCATTCTGGCAAGTCAGGAACGCAGTTCCTAAGGCTCATGTGGCCTACCACTATGGGTCCATAAGGAGCTTTATTGGTCTACTCGCTGTGTGAATTGCTATCATTCCACTTTAGTTTATGGATCCTAGTTCTTTCATAAAAATCTCACTTAGTATGTTATTGGAATTAAAAAAAAAACAACACCAGAATTCAGGAAGCATTCTAACTTACTTGACCATGCAGGAGAAGGGAAACGCATTTGGGATGTTGGTATGAGAAGGCTCTTTTTGATACCATTCTGATAGGGCTCAATGTGCTCTCACGCAGAGCCACACACCTGAGCTGCCCAAGCGTTGCCACCTTTCCCTGGGGGCAGCCCCAGGTCTCGGGGCTCGGCGGGTTAGCTGGGATCGGCCGCGGTGGCCCCCATGTTGGGCACACACCGGACGGGGACAGCTGGGGCGCCGGCGAGGCGCAGGCTCGGGATGGGAGCGCTCCCAGGAGGCTCCCGGTCCACAGAGCACAAGCCAGGCGCCAGCCTTCCCACAGCCAGCCGCCAAAAGAACAGAACTTTGGTTCCACCAGGCCTCAGGACCGAGAGAAAGCAGCAAGGCCCGCGAGCTACGCAAACACGTCAAAAAACCCAACCATCGCCCAGCTCAGGGCTCTCCTCGCCGAGCTTACGTCTCTACCCAGCAGGCTCCGGGAGTCATCGCGAGACTTCATTTATTCTCGCGAGATTTATCGGCAGCCATCTTCTTGGGGGTGCTGGGAGCCGGGAAGACCCCCCGAATCGTTCCCATTGAGCTGTCCTTCGTCTTCGCCTTTTTCCCTTCCCCCCCTTTTCCCTTCAGTTTTGCTGCTTCTGCGTGGCCAACAAGCACCCAGTCCCGCAGCTGAGAGAGAGCCCGGGTGTAAGCGCGTGTCGCGCTCCCGGTCGGGGCAGGGGGAGGGCCGGGGCGAACCGTTGCTGCCTCGGCCCGGGCTGAGGTGCGGAGACGGGGTCGGGGGACGGCTCCCGGCGGCCCTGGGACTCGGGGCCTGCGGCGGTCCCCGCGGCGCTGCTCGCGGCAGCCGGCCACCGGCGCCGTCCAGCGCGGCCCGCGCGAGCGGCGCGCGGAGGAAGGGGCGGGGGCAGCGGCGGCTGTAGCGGCCGCGACCGGGGCGGGCGGACGAGCGGGGACGGGCCTCGGGGCCGCCGTGGATGGTTTCTAAAATGATCATTGAAAACTTCGAGGCCCTCAAGTCCTGGCTCAGCAAGACCCTCGAGCCCATGTGAGTATGCGGGGCGGGAGGCGGCGGGAGGGTAGCTGCCTGCAGGGCTGGCGTGGGGAAGGAGGCGGACACACGGACCTCCGCACGTTACCCCGAGTGCCTGTGGCCGAGGCCCGAGCGAGGTGCCAGGGCCCTCGTGTTGCCTGCTCCCCGGGTCCCCCTCGCCAGAGAGCCCTGGGACCTGAGCTGGACGGTGTTTGAGCTGGGGGCTTGCCTTCCTCTGCTGCTTGTTTCCCCCGTTATACGTCGTGTGACCCGAGACGCACCTGGCATTTCTGCGGGCCTTGGCATCGGATTTTTTTTTTTTTTTTAGTGAATTCGAGCATGATCATCTTCTTACAGGTAATTTTATCCTGTTTCGCTACATGAATCTACGGGCCCTTAGGACGGATTAGGACAGCCCTGGTTTTAGTTGCTCACGGTCCATGTGTCCGCCTACCTCCCCACGCCAGCCCTGAAATAAAGGCCACGTTCCCCATGTGCCATCTGGCTTGTCCGTACCCCTCTTAACTGATTGAAGATGTAACAGGTGCTACGGTGCCCAGTAAAATTCCCTTTTCCGCCTACACGTTCAGTTGCTTGGAAAGGAGGAAGAACATCTAATCTATATCCATATGGACTATTTTAGCAGTTTTAAAGCGGAGGCTGTAGAGGGTCTGAGGGCAGGGGCAGGGGAGAGAAGGGTAGGGGGTTACAGTGCTGAAATAGGTTAGATTTGAAAGCTGGAGGACTGATTTAAGGATTTAATAGTGAGGAATAAATCATGGGCCAACTGTTGCGTTATAATGGGCTGGTTTGCAATAAACTAAAATGCAGTGTGAAAAACTTACTAGTATAATGAATTTGTCACCTGCTGTGTATGGGATGCTTTGAGGATGGAACTTTGAAATTCCAGAGTCACAGGACATAATGAATAGGTAAATAAGATCGTTTTTTGGTATAAACAGAGCCATGACTTTTGTAAAAACAGAGGATCTTATGAAAGGGCGATTAGAGTTACGTTTGTGTTGTAAGGTGAGCAGGGATGACCTCTCAGTGAGTGACAGTTGGGCAACACCGAAGGAGGTGAAGGGGGCAGCGGGAATGGGCTGTGTGGCAGGAAGAGCAGATGGAAAGGCCCTGTGGCAGAGTTGGTTGCGCTGAGTTCAGGAAGCTTGGCAGTAGGACAGCAGGGAGCTCCTGTGGGGGACCTGTCATGTCAGGTAGGATCTTTGAGGCCTTGGTCAGGATTGAAGATTTTATTTGAAGTGTAATGAGAGACAAAATGATTTAAAGCAGCAAGGACTTATGTGGTTTTGTTTTCCCTGTGCTCTGTGGGCAGGAATGGAAGCCAGGAGACCTTTTTTGCAGGCTTGTAGATAGTTTGCACCAGAGAGAGAGGAGACAGACCCAAATCTGTTTCAAAAGTTGATTTGATAGAATTTATTGGTAGCTGGATGTGGGAAATGAGGGAAAGGAAAAAAAATTGAAAATCATGACTAATAAGACTGGGGAACTGAATGGGTGATGGTGGAGGAGGCTGGGAGGAAAGGAAGGGTGATGGGTTTTGATCGTTACATATGAGGTTGTCAATCCATGCAGGTAATGCTTCAGGTAGTTGGGCATGTGAGGAGGGTCAGAGGAAGTTGGGCGTGTGCACATAGCACTGGTATTTAAAGCTGTGTGGCTGTGGGAGGATGCAGCAGTGAGGTGGGGGAACTGGGCTGTATGTCCCTGGAAATGTCCAAAAGTGGCTGAAATAGGAGGGAAGTTGTTACTTTGGTGGGTTATTGTGGGATGAATGAAGAATGTGGAGGCAGATAAGTGACTCTGATTTGACAGGGTGATCTGAACAAAATTGTGTCCTTGCCAGGAGTGGCCCAGATAGCTGCTTCAGAGGGTGCAGCCTGCTCTAGGGGTTCAGGAGGGAGAACTCCCACACCCGGTGGTTGGCTTTGACTGCTGCCCTGCCAGCCGGCCAGCTAGGTGACAGTGGGTAACGCAGTGCTTTCACGTCCTCATGTTACATGGGGTTAGATGAAATATAAAGAAAGTCTTAGAGTACTGCTTTGTATGTTATTTGCTTTCACTGAGTATTGGGTAAACAAAATTTCAGAGTATTTTGGACTGGAATGCCTTCCCCACCCCCCAGAAGTTCTAAACATTCAGTTTTCAGTCAAAAAAATTAAGCACTCAATTTCAAATCAGTATTGTTGCCATTTCCTTTAAGGCACTGCTAGTGGAGTCTAGACAGTGGTAGGAATTGCAGTTGATTCTTTTCTAAAGTACATTGTAGTGAAATTGAGTCATTCTCAAAGTTTCTGTCCTTTGCATTTCAGATGAGTTCCTTTAAGTGATGATTTATATGCTAATCTCCATTAAGACTTGTGTCGTTTGATCTTGGCTTGATGAAATTTTCACTTTGCTATCTAAAGCAATTTTTTTTTAGGATTTTGGATTGGAATGCCCCCCCCCCTCCCGACTGACTGACTCACTGTCCCTGATTTGCTGATTTGTTCCCCAGATATTTGCCTTCCACTGTGTACACTGGAAAGAGGCTTGAATCAGGAGCGGAGCTACGGCCTAAACTCAGGCACTCCTGTGTGGATTGTGACTGTCACAATTAGGCCAAATGTCTGTCCATAAACTTGAGTGGTTCTTCCTTAGTGCTACGTGGTGTGGCACTAGTATTTTCTTTCCAGGTGCTATACATGCTTTCTAATCGGTCTGCCTTTACTGGCTCCTTTCTGCACATAGCGAATCAGTTTCTAATTCCTTGAGGAAGAAAAGCTCAGTGGCAGTAGCAGGGAAAAACAAAACAAAAACATTCTGCATTTGGTCTTTGACCTGTATGTGTATCAGACAACATTGATACTGCTTTTTTTCCCCCCCAAAAAACGTATTTACTTTGAATCCCTAATACTTCGCTTCATTTTGGATTGGTTTTGCTCCCTTTGTCTCCCTTTCTTTTTCTTTTTTTTTTTTTTAAGAAAGTGTATTTTTTTTAAGATTTATTTATTTTTATTGCAAAGTTAGATATACAGAGAGGAAGAGAAACAGAGAGGAAAATCCTGCGTCTGATGATTCACTCCCCAAGTGAGCGCAATGGCTGGTGCTATGCCGATCCAAAGCCAGGAGCCAGGAACCTCCTTCAGGTCTCCCATGCGGGTGCGGAGTCCCAAAGCTTTGGGCCGTCCTCAACTGCTTTCCCAGGCCACAAACACTCCCGGGAAGTGGAGCTGCTGGGATTAGAACCGGTGCCCATATGGGATCCTGGCACGTTCAAGGCAAGGACTTTAGCTGCTGGGCCATGCTGCCGGGCCCTATCTCCTTTTTTTCATGTCTGATTTTTCAGTTATAACAGGGGCTTTTTCCCTCAATCATTTCTACAACTGACATTCATTTCTATTACGGTGTAAATTATGAGCTCCCTTCAAAACCTACATTGAAATTTAACTTCCGTTCTAACAGTACTAAGAGAACCTTTACGAGGTGACTTCTTTTTTCTTGGCTTTCTTTCCTCTGCTTGTGATCCCCTGTCACATAGTCCATCAGGTTATATCTTTTTAATAATTCTTACTGATATTGCTTGGAGGGGAACAAACCTACACTCCTTATCTAAACTGCATTCTATTTTCTTACAAGTCTTCCTGTTTGTTTCTTTCTCCCATTCCAGGCTGACATGGAGGCCTAACTTCATCATATTCTATTTCTGATGAAAATATTCAGCATTTCTTGAATAATAAGTTGCATGGTTTTAGCTTAGATTTCAGAATACTAACAATCTCCATCAAATTATTTTCCTCTTATATTTTCCTGTTTCTTTTGTGAATCTTAATTTTAGTTAAGCTGAACTTCCAGTTTGGTTTTCTGACATGTTTGTATCTTTTCTTTAGTGGGTAACGTTTATTAAGTGGTTACTGTATGTTACTCTTTGTGCATTTATTGAATATGAGTGAAGTTCTGTTAAATCAATTCAAGTATAAGAAGATTAAGTTTTACGATTAAATAGAGAACTCCATTCACAGCTTACTAAGATGGAACCAGGATTCTAAGCAAGACATTTTGATACCCTTTATGTAAGACTAATCAAAGGCAAACTGTGATCCACTTCTTCCAGAAAACTGTTAGATCCACTGGAAATAGTGAGTCTCTCCATCACGACTGTCCTCCCTGCATGGCACCTATTTAAGACATTTGACACTTGCACACATTTATTGTTTAATTGTTGATTTGACTTTAGAATTTCTGGCCTTTGAAAGCACATGTCAACTCCGCAGATTCACCTGTGTTCTTGTTCTGTACAGTACCTAGTACAGTTACTTGAATGAGATGTATATTTGAGTGTTAAATGCTTTTAATTGAGATTTCTATTCTGTGAATTCATGTTAATAAAGAAACAGCTGCTTAGGCAAAACTGTAAAATGCACACTATGCCTTTTCAGATAAGCAGAATGTAGTATGCTTCAAGAGTCAGGTCTGGGTCAGGCTCAGGCTGAGGCCAAGAATCAGGGATTCAGTCGGAGTCTTACAGGTGTGAGCCATCGTTGCTTTCTCCCGTGGGCTGCATTGCAGCAACCTGGAGTCAGGAGCATGAGCTGGGATATCAAGGCAGGTGCTCTAAGGTGGGGCACTGATGTCTTAACTGCTAGGCTGTCTTCCTAATTGATTAATTAGTTGGTAGAAGCGTTGATATTTGCAGTTAATTACTGGATGAAATATTTTTCAGTATTTTTCATCCACTTAACATTTGATGAGTTGGCTTTCAATACCACATTTCACTTAAAATCTTACTTGGTTTTTAAGTAATTAAAATGTATTCATTTTTTGTATGTTTTAGCACGTTAGCTTATCCAACTTCTCAAAATTATTTTATATGCATAAACCAAAAGCCAGGGATAGCATTATGAGCAAAATGGAAAATAAGAAATTCCCATGTTTGGTATGTGTATAATGAGAATGACTAACTCAAGCTTGAGCTAAATAGCTTCTAGGAATTTTTTTTCTTATATTTTGTCCTA